TAACGCATGCGCAGAATGGCCCGCCCCATACATCCAGCCAGTGGCAGCGCCAGGGTATGGCTGGGGTAGGCTACAGCCATACCAAGAAATGGCTTAGCCCCACCATGTTAAAGTAAGCAAAATAAAGTCTGCCAACTCGCGCGGAGTAAATTGCACAGACAGCAGTTAGTAAGATTGATTTCAGTAGCAACTTGTCTGGAAATACCGAAGACTAGAAACGGTTTTGAAAACTTTTGTCACGTAGTGATCGTCTTCTCAATAGAACATCTTTGATAATGTCTTCTGGCCAATCAGAATCAAGATAACGGCGTGGTGTTGTTGCAGGAAGTCCCGACGGAGAATACTTTTGCTGTGTAGCACATCTCTATATACATCGATACAACATTACGTGTTGATAGAAATCAACACGTAATGAAATAAGACCCCACGGTTTGATGATTGATAGGTGTGTGGGCTGTCTTTACATTTTTGACACACAGAACAATGTTATAATAAACATACCATACTGTATGTTAAATGGATATATCCGCCTTCTTTCATTTATCTTTCCATTCCAACAACAATATACATAAAGAAATGGCATATTTTGGACATAGTTCGAATGGTGATTAATCATGATTAATTAATTTTTAAGCTGTGATTAATCTGATAAAAAATTGTAATCGTTTGACAGTATATGTAATATATGTACTCTAATTAGGCTGTGTAACCTGTGCAATAATTCAACTGTGCAATACTTGACAGTTGAATCTGACTTCAATCAATTGTTCTCACACCACTTTGGAATGATTATTATTACACTGTTCATTAGGATCAATAATCTGTTTTTCAGAATTCATAACATTATTCAAATTCTTTAACTACTGTATATATTGTATATATTTATTTGGAGATATTTACTTTTAATTCTATACGTTTGCATACATGTTTTTATTTTAATTTTATTGTATTTATTTATTTTTACTATAAAATTGAGTCTTCCTCTGACTGAGATCTAGGAAGTGTTACATTTTATTTGGGCTTTCAGTCCAACAGACCTTCACCAGAGTGTGTAACACTGCATAGAGCAAAGGGTGAGGATATTTATTTTTGTATCAGTTTGGACTCATTGTGATTTCCAGCATCTCTGCAAAGATTAAACCAGGAGGAGCGGTAGTCATCCTGCATTAGTGTTAACTTCTGATAGAACACTATGTTGCACTGCTAGTAACAGTGTCAGCCATCCATATTTAGACTTTAGAGTCTCACTGACCTTGAATGTCCAAGCTGTAGGGGTCTTTCACATAAATGGCTGGATCCAAAACTTTGTAAATCACCTTAATTAAAGAAAAACATTTTTCAGAGAAATTCTATAAGATGTGGGATGAGAGAAGATCATGGAAAGCTACAAAAAACGAATGAAACCAAAGCAGGCATACTGTTTGCTAACACATTTCTCAAAATTCTGACCGAGACAGACATTAGTTATTTTAAGCTTAATTGAATAAATGGATCATCGTCCAGTTTGCAACGGTGACAAATGTCCCTAAAATAGTGTACACTTAAAATGATATGGATGTTTTTAGGAGGCCCAATGTTTTTCCATGTGTACTTCTCTCTGTTCCTCATGACTGAGGGAGTGCCATCCACCATCCACTGTAGGTTAATATCTTTCTCTTGTTAAGAACGTCATCAAATTCTAAAAAAAATCGGAACTATCACTTTAACAGCAAGATAATTGTTGAACATCACCGGCTTTATTTTTTACGAGCACTTCTTCTAGTTCTTACCTCTCCATTGGTGGAAGGTTCGATGTCAGAGTAGCGCTCCTCACAGATTACGTCGTTGATGTGGCGCAGGCCGTTAGCGGGGGTGCCGGGAAACGTCTTGGTACAGTTTGAGGCAAAGTAGCGGTAGGGGCGCCATGTGCGGCCAAAATCTGCCGAACGCTCGATGATCATAGCTGCAGGTCGGAAGGTCTGAGGGGCAGAAGAGGGAAATAAGTCCTTAAGCACCTAAACAGAGGTCCACAGACACACACACACACACACACACACACACACACACACACACACACACACACACACACATACACACACACACACACACAGATCCCAATATACATGCAACTGAGTGTTTGTACCTTAAACTTCATGATGAGATGTGTGAAGTGGAATTCAGCCTCCAGGTTCATCCTGATGCTGACATTCTCCTCTCCTGTGGAGGAAACAACTGTCACTCATTGTCATAACAACACAAGTGATGGAGAAGTCTCATCTCCAAAAGTTAGTCTCTTTCAAAATGACCACTACGAGGTTATAGATTTATTCTATATCTCTTGTCAATGCATCCCAACAGCATTCACAAGGGTTTTGATATAGACGGTAATTACTTGGTTACATTTTTTACCATAGGGATATAATCCACAACAAGAAGAGCACATTTATTGCTCACATTTAGAGACTCTCAGTAAACACACCGAGTCTATGAGAAAATATCCCTATTCCCAACTTGATCTATTACCTCAGAAAAGATTTTCCCGATGAGTTTATCATCACAATACACATTTAGAGTCAGAACATTACAGTTAGAAAACCCAACAAGGCATAAAGTAACACAGAACATCTCAGTTTAAAGGGTTTAGATACGTTTACATTTAGACCTGGGCTTACACATCAAGTAGAACAAAAAAATATCCCCTTACTGTAAGCAGTTAGCTTGTTTACACAGGATGTTTTGTAAGAAGTCCTAATTGAAGGTAAACTTTGCATTATGAGAGGCTAACATAGTTTCTTATATCATTACTTTCTAAGTTATTCAGCTAAGATCTTTGAAGATGTGGCTTGCTATGCAAACAACATGTGCTTTAGCTTACATAAGAAGGTGCCCTAAAACCCCTCTTGCTTCCTTTGGGACATTAAAACCATATTACACAAACCAATGGGTGACGTAAAGGTGTCTACACCCACTTTTTATATAGCATTTTTTGTAAATACACATGCACACACCGTTTACAGACTGCCACCAGGTGTTGCTTTCATCCCTGTCCATGAGGTAGATGACGTTTTCGATGCGGTGGCTGTTTCTGTGGCGGTACCGGTCGTAGGGATGCTGGGAGTTACACTCGAAGCACTTGTCTGATTCCTGTTGAGGTACAAAACATACATTTACTCCTGTAGAAATTCGCTGGCATGGAAGGTTTCCCTCAGATGTTTTACATATGATAATAATAAATAATTAAAATGTTTAACAGATGAAAATAACTAGCAAGCATGGTGATTTTTTTCAGCAAAAAAGTCAAAATGTAAAATAAACTGCCGGTTGATGTTGTACTACAAGGGAGAAAATTTAAAGGATTTAAGTGCATCTGCAGGTTGTGTCTAGTTGCTGGTAGCCATGTTGTACCGTGTCACTCAAGCCTCTGTGATAGAGCTGCTTCTTCAGATTTCATCTGTCAAGCTGAAATGATGCAAATCTAAAAGTGCCCCTGTGTGCCAATACCAGTGTGAACCAGGAACAAAAGCCAGAGGGGACTGGCTTGTTTTTCCACTGGGTCAAAAGAAAAAAGGAAGTGGAAGCAGGGTTGGGCAATATAGAGAATAATCAAATATCAGAAAATGTTTCACCAAATACCTTGATCACAATGTTGCAACTATATTGTATTAGGGCCTTTTAAAATAATCATCACTAATGTGGATATAATTACTTGGGTAAAGACAACTATTATACCAGCTGGAAGACTTTTGTAAGTTCAAAAACAATAAATAGTATCATATCCGGTTAATTAATTTTGCCATTACGCGTGGTGCAGGACTGAGGCATTTAACATGGAAATGAGATTGCATTTTACTCCTCATTTCAAAGTCAATGATTTGAAATACATTTTTGGTTAGATGCAAAAATAAGGTTTGCAGTAAGACAAGCTCAAGAGACTTTCATCTTTTGTTCTATGAAATCAAATACGGTAGTAAATAACAAGGGGATTCAATGAGACTACAAAACGTCTTCACGTCAAACATAGTTTGAGCCTTTAGATTAGCGGTGGTGATGAGCAGCCATTTGACCACGATGCAGTTTGGTTGCATTTTCAACTGGAGATTGCATTTACACTTCAAAAATCAAGTGGTGTTATTTTGTGAAGATTTTCATCCGAACAAAACGTGTAAGCATCAGAAGCATAGGTTTGCTGAAGATCTTATTTTCTGCAATATTTTTCAGAAATCAAATGGAAATGCCATTGCTTTTTGACCCATGCAACGTGAACTTCCAGGATAGCATGCTCTATTGCCATTCCTAAATGGAGTGGTGAAATTAGGGACAACTGAGGGAAAACACACAGCTTGCTGGTAAAAAGCAGACATTGATGTGGCAGAGGAAGAAGTGGAGGAAGAAGTGGAAAGCAGAGGGCATGGGAAAGATAGAAGAATGTGGGGACTGCAGCCAAGAGTAAGGGCTTGGATCTTAAGGGGTGTCACAGAGAAGTTAGAGAAAGGAAGGCTCAGGTGAGATAAGTGGGTATACGGTGGAGAGAGCCCTCAAACGGCATGGCAGGGTTGAGGGACAAAGAAGGGGGCCGGCAGAGAGCGAGGGGGATGCTGAGAGAGGGCAAAAGGGGGGTGCATTTGAGAGCGTGCCACAAAGAGGGGAACAGGGAGAGGGAAAGAGGCAGATGAGGGTACATTGGCGCAGAGAACCAGTGGATTCCAGGGCAGCATTTCTTAATTAGGTTGTTGTCAGGGTGATTAAGCTGCTAACAACAACAATGCCAATAAAGAGACTTGACTGAGATTTGAAAAAAAGGTTGTGTGGACGTACGTGACCATGGCTGCACACATGCCCACTTGTACATGTAAGTGAATGTGTGTTTTTGTACATGCACGCTTGCCTTCTTCATCCAGCCTCCCTAATCCCAGCATAAATCTGCCCTCATCTCTGAAAAGGATTTCTTTCTACAGAATAGCACATCCATCCTAATGCAATTAGCCATCATCAGAGAGTCACTCTGTTACAGCTTCATAGTGCTTATAGGAATTTAGGTCGAAGAGCAACATTTCTAATATATTTCTAAAGTCATCTCACTTAATTCATTTTAATAGTATGACTGCACTACGTAAATGTGTCTTTTTTGTTATGAAAGGGCACTTGGTTTTTCTGTGTTTTCCCTTCCCTGTAGTGTGTGATAGGTTTTGTAAATGGTCTGCAAAGGCTAACATCCCTAAGATCCCTCCAGATGGAGTTTCTCTTCCACACATAGTGACATCACTATGTAACACTCGCCCCTTATATTGGCCAGCGCCACAATTCATTGTAAATGATAGGCATATGGGCGGGACATCTCTAAATGGTTGACCAATCACCACAGAGCCGGCCAGCTAACCAATCAGAGCAGACTGGGCCAGACAGAGGGTGAAAAGAGGTGCAGCAGCACAGGCAGTATGAGAAAAATAAAGATCTTTTTGAACATTAAAGGACAATGAGCATAGTAGGGCCCCTCTAAGATTATTTTTGCGCCAATTTGGCCCTTATTGCAGAGATATTAATTATATATTCTAAGGGAGTGCTTGTTCTTCTGTCTGTCTGTCTGTCTGTCTGTCTGTCTGTCTGTGCCTGTGTATTCTCTTGTTCCGATTAACCCAGCCACATTTTTTCTTGTTTTGTGTCTATATCTACGCCGGGATCCGGAGTCGAGGCTGATCTTCTTGCTGTGGTCCTGTGTCCTGGATCCTCTATCCTGTGTTCTGGATTAAGTCGTGGACTTCGGGTCGTGGCTAAACCTATCACTGTGGTCCTGCCTGGGTCTCGTCATGCTGCTTCCCTGAAGGCTCCCACAGGATTGTAGTTGACATCTTCGTAGATTCATCTTCTTTTTATAGAGACATGCATTTCCTAACATTTGGACTACCTACGCTGTATAATGTATTATCTCTTCGATTTACACACGGAATCTATTGCACGTCTGTCCGTCCTGGGAGAGGGATCCCTTCTCTGTTGCTCTCCCTGAGGTTTCTCCCATTTTTTCCCTTTAAACTGTGGGTTTTCTCTGGAAGTTGTTCCTTGTACGATGTGAGGGTCTAAGGACAGAGGGTGTCGTTTTTTCTCATACTGGTATTCTGAACAATCTGTGCTGTTGTATTTGCTGTAAAGTGTCTCTACTGTAGGCTATTTTTATTATATGTACAGCACTTTGGCTCGACCAAAAATCGTTTATAAATGTGTTGTATAAATAAAACTTGATTTGATTTGATTTGATACGGAGCCCTGGAGGGTTCATAGTGAGAAAAATAAATAAAACGTGGCCACGTTTTACTTTCTCGTTCGCACGAGATACCTTCTCGTTCGCACGGGATACCTTCTCGTGCGAACGGTTTATTACGGTGCGCCCACAGTTAATAAGCGTGGTTAGTTTTTATGAAGAATCTGTCGTGTCGCCCGGCGTGTGTGTGTGTGTTGCTGTGTGTGTGTGTGTGTGTGTGTGTGTGTGTGTGTGTGTGTGTGTTGTGTGTGTGTGTGTGGTGTGTGTGTGTTGTGTGTGTGTGTGTGTGTGTGTGTGTGTGTGTGTGTGTGTGGTGTGTGTGGGATTTGTTTATGTAGATATCGTTCGTTCGGTGCAGGTGTCGTTTGTTACTCTAATGAGATCATGTCGGATTTGAGTACTTTCTATTCTATTTTCCTCTCTAGTACCATTTGTGGATATAACAACTTGATCTATGGCAGAATCAGATTTTGTTATGTGTGGTATTTGAAAAACAATGTTGCTCGGACATCACATTGTGTTCAGTTACTCGGCTGGGAGCGGGCCTAGAACATATCCTACAGTATCATCTTTCCTACTCTCCTCGAACTGCCACTACCTCTACTGGCAACTTCACGACCAGACAGAGCAACAGTCATCTTGTGGCCCCTTACTATGAAAAAAAGAACATAAGAGTGACATGGACGTCTCTGCTCTGTCAGTAAAAAAAAAAATATCCGAAGGGGGCAACATACGTCTGTCGCGGGTTAGCTTGTTCGCTGTGAGTAAAGAAAGGACTAGTGTGTTGTACTGTAGTGTAATTATATACGGACAAACTAAGTGGCTTTGGAGGAGTTGTAGTGGGTGTCGGCGGTGAGAACGGTTGGGCATTAAACTGGATGGTGATGGTGGGTTAACGTGTCTCGTCTCTTTCGTCCCTGTGTTGTTGTTATCTCTATTCAGCCTCGTTTATGTGAAGAGGGAGCAGTGATGCGAGCTAATACATGCAGTAAAGGGCCATGTTCATCAGTGTTGCCGCTCTCGTGTGTGACTCGTGCTCCTCTAGATTTGCTTGACGCGTTCATACGCCGTGTACTGCCTCTCTCGCGTTGCGCCCTGTACGACTTAGTAAGGCCTCTGATCATCATCCTCAGGTCACATCGGTAATACTGCTAGTTCGCTCTTTATTACTTTACGGCTCAGCTCTGTAAAACTTGCTTAGGTCTGGGGTGTACAACAACTCGATGGCGCGGTTCCTTGTATTCCATATGATTTTAACATCCAAGCATATTCGCGAGCTGTGCTTTTCTTTCTGATTTCCACCGTGTAATTAGAAAGAACGGCGGAATTTCCAAGATCTCATGTTAATTACAGGGAGTTGTAATGGTATGCAAGTTTCTAATTGGTATTCTAGTTGTTGGTAAAATTCAGATTCTTTCTGAACAATCCCCGGGGATCATTTTCCATGCGCTTTCACTGCCAGCGCTTGATAGCAGTGTTGCATGTTTTCTCCAACATGGAGGACGTTGACGATGGCAGCCTTGGCTGTGTGCTGTGAAGCGTCAGACTTTTAACCGTATAAATAGCCTATAATTACCTTCGCAGGAACTGTGATGGTTTAATGTCTACAGTAACCAGAATTATTTCTAAAAGATGTCTCGCTGTAAATATACTCCTGGTAGCTGGCAATGTCCGCGGCTTTTTAGTTTTGCTCAAAGGTGGACGGATTACCAACTTGGCGTCCCTCTCTCTTGTAAAAACAGTGTGTGGCTTTGCCTGGAGTTAGTGGTCGTATGTGTCTGGGAAGTCCCTGATTCCATTTCGGTCGTGTAATAATCTGCAGCCATTTCCTCGCGCCAGCGCTTATCTCTATGACTTCGTGCTGTTGCACATGTGTTTGTTGCTTTACTCTGATGGCTCGATTCTTGATGTTGTTCAATA